GACCAAATCGGGGTAAAAATGGTAAACAGTAGGGACCAAATCAGGGATTTTTTTAGTTCAGGGACCAAATTGGGAGTCCGTACAATAATTCAGGGACCAAAAAGGGGTTTTAACCTTTTATCTATTGTTTGATATTCGAATGTTCATAACTATAATTTCATATTTTATTATTTTTGTTATGAATTAATTTATTTTATTAAGGTTATGATGTAACCTAATCAATTTAATATAAATTTTATGATTTTTATACTTTTAATTAAAATTATTTGCATGAGGAGTTTATATTATTGAATTTGATGCATTGGAAGCCTGATGACCTTTCAATTGATTTAGTGATTTATGTATGAACTTGAGAAAGAATTGCGTAAATTAGACCAATAATAATATAAACCATGTGTTAGACTATAAGACCGAGAGGTAATCGGCTCACATGTGGTGGTGGAGGAAGAGAAGAGAGTTAGGAGTTTCCTCTTCTTAATCTAAAGGTTTCCATAGAATTTAATGCTCATTAGTTTGTTTAAAATTACATAGAATATGATTAATTTAACAAACAAGTGAAAGATTAACTTGATTTGAGAAAACTAGTTAATTAATTTAGAGAAATCTAACATCACATGCAATAACACTCAACAATTTGATAATGCAGAATTTATATTAATTGATTATGGTGAAATCGATGCCTTAGTACCTCATATCTTAGTTAATTTTATTTTAATTGTTATGTTCTTTTTATTATTTTTTAATTAAACTTTTTTCCTTTTTGATTGTTCTAATAAATTTGGATTAATTATTTTGGTACTTAGTTAAATACAATCCTCATGCGTTCGACATTCTTCTCATCATTATATTACTTGAAGCGATTAGTACACTTGCTAAAGTGATTTTAATGCATCAATAGCCAAGTGTAAAAGGTAAGTCCACCCATATGCAACCAAACAAGTATAGAAGCATGATGCAAGACGAATAAGCATATGTCACAATGATGCATGTACATTTAAGAAGATATAATGTATGAACATGTAAATAAGGCTTGTTGCATGTCGTGATGTGGCAACATAAGCACCTAAAGACAAAGGTAAAAGCACATACCAAAGAACCAAACAAGCAAGACTCAATCAATGACTCAATAACCAATGAAAATAAAAAAATTGAAAAATCTCCAAAGTTAAAATATTAGCTTAACCCTCATGAACCCAAAATATAGATAACTAGTAATTAAAAAACATTCCCTAATAGAGTTACTAATTTGTTGACAACCACTTAAAATTCAAAAATAGAAATGGGATTTCAAAAATTAAGTGAAAAGATCAAGAAAATCAAAGTTCTTCCTCATCCAGATTATAAAGAAGACACAACTCATTTAAAATAAGTTTATGCAGAAATCAAAGCTTAAGGGTACAATTAGAAGTAAGAAAGAGTAAACACGTACTTCACAATCCTTTATGAGAAACACAATTGCATACTTTAAAATTACAATTTAATTCAACTTATTTATTGTTTTAAAAGTCTTAATTGACTAACCTTGAAAAGTAAATGAACAAAATTGCAATTCTTGAAAACCTGTAGATTCAATTGAATAAAATAAGAAGCAAGTAGTCACAATTACAACAAATTAAAAGTTAAGGGACTAATTTGAGTAAATTCAAAACATGGAGGATGAATTTGGAATAATTTAAAATTTCTAGACCAAATTACTTGATCTTAGAAAGGTTTGGGCAAAATTAGAATTAAATAAAAGAAAATTGTGACCTTAATTAAATTAAACAAGATTAAAATTAATTCATCACAACAATTAATTTAATTAAATGGTTAATCAAGTATTAATCAAAAGAATAATTATACATACACCCAAACAATCAACACCCATCTCAACACCCAAGGTTTATGAACAGTAAAATTACAATTTTACCCCTCTTCATTTTAGCCTTAGGTGTTGAAATGGGTGTTGATTGTTTGGGTGTATGTATAATTGTCCTAATCAAAATTAATCGTAATTACTTAATTACCTTTATTGGTCTTTAATCAAAATAATTAAGTGGATCTAATTACCTTAATTTAAGATATTCGAGCATAATTAATTAATTTTGATTAAAATCAATTAATTTAACCAAGAATTCTCTAAACCAATCACAAAATTTTTTTATTATTATTCATTATTTTTTATTATTTTTTTTAGCAGCAACCCAAAACACTATTACAATCTTATTAGCCCTGACAAAATTCCATTTTTAGGGTCCAATTCGTGATTCATAAGTTAGGTTGACCCAATTTATAAACATGACCCACCCACTTAAACGGGTTAAAAAGATAAATTAAAAGCTTTGAATTGGGAATTTAGGGTTTGTGACATGTTCTTCACATTCAAAATTTCTTAGGAAAAATTGAACGCAAAAGAGAAAGTTCATCCAAACCTCAAATTAATCACAACAATAGAATACAAATCTAAGGGGCAAACATAATGTTGTTGTCATTAATTATATTATTTACATAAATCTCAATTAAATAGTAAATTAAAATCCAAAAAAGAGAAACTCATGCAATTCATGGCTAAATTTGGAAAGAAAGAGTGAAGTTGACTTGGGATGCCTCACCCACAAGGTAGTTCCCAAATCTTTCTCTTCACTACCTCTCCATGATTCTTATGTCCCTTTTCTACCTTACCTGTAAAAAAAAAAAAAACAAAAAAAAAAAAAACCTTTCATAATGTGAAGCCTTGAAAACTTTAGTACCTTATCTATTAGTTTTATCATGGTGTAAGGGCTTAATTAGGATAAATAGGTTTTGGGATGTAAGTAGGTGACTTATCTTAGACTTACTTAAAACTAGAACTTTGAGGACTTCAAGTTTAGGATATGTGAAAGTTGAGGATTACAGCAAGATTTTTAACCCTAATATGAAAGCCTTTGTCATTCCATGATGGAATACACGCAAAATAAAAATAAGGGGCGTAGCAAGCCAACAACCCAAAGGAATAGAAGTGGCAACAGTAGTAGCAGTGGTTTCTTAAAATTTCATTGCTTCTCTAAACAATTAGGACTAATTGGAAATTCTCAATTCTTTCTTGGGCATCTCTCTCAAAGATTAAAAAGCATTTGGATCGTCTTAAATAAGTCTTGGCTCTACTTTTTGAATTTTAGGTAGACTCTTAATTTTACTTGGAAGTAAGTAACACATATTTTTCCCTTAGTTTGATTCTTTGAAAAATATAGTTAGTCTTAATAGAATCTTAAAAATTTTATATAAATCTAGTTTCATAAAATTGGGTTATGCATTTCATTTGATTATGAAGCTTTTAGTGTAATAATAATTGATTTGTGCAGAACTCCATCACTTGCTTTTTGGGTATACTTATAGATTTTGATGCACTTTTTAGTTTTGGTAAAGGGCCATCATGCATTTAGCAACAAAATTTAAGAAGGAGAAAAAAAAAAATAGAATTTTGTCTTGAAAGAAAAAGCATTGAAATAAACTAAATTTATTCTTAATCATCTATTACCTTGTGATCCCCCTGTTTCATGTAACTTGACTTATATATTTAACTTGTGGTCTGGAATAATATTTTGGTTTTGATCCTATCCATGATCTGGCATACTTGTCAAATTCTTAAACAAGAAAAAAATAAAATTATTTTCTCTCTCCAACTTTGTTGATAAGGCAAAACTTTAGTCATGTTAAAATGCTTATATTCTATAGAAATTAATTTTGACTCTATTTATTGTTGCTACTATAATGACAACTTTTGTTTTGGAATTGTGCCACCAATATAATACTGGTATTATCTACAACTATATTGTTGAGGTAGCCTATATTCATGCTTGATTTTGTTAGAAATTTTATTCATCTTAAATTGATTTTGTACCTACTTTTTTATTATATGAAAATTTGTAACATGAAGGTAAATTCTATTTTTAATATGTCATCTTACATATGCTTTGCTTAAATAAAATTTAACTTGATACGCCTTAACCCAATTGAGGAACAACTAATAAAAACTTGTATTGTTACCAAATCTCAACATTTTAGGTGTTTATGCTAAAGAATCATGATGACAAGGATTATGATGACTCTCGACTAGTTAACTAGTATTGACAATCATTGGAATTGATGTTTAGTTTTGAAATTAGACATGGCTAGCTAGATGATTTTTGACATATTGAATAACATAATTTAATTGAGTTTTGAATTTTAGATCTTAAATTATATTTTAAATTTATATTTAATATGGGGATTTTAGTTGAATTTTAATTAGTTTCAACTTTTTCATAATGAATATAATGAATTAAATGGTTTTGAGCCTTTATCTAATAAGTATGGTGTCTGTTGTCTGAGGTGTGACATATAACTAAAACATCATATTTATTCCCCTCTAGATCTTTCTCTAAAACCTTCAAAACAAAGAATACTGATAAAAACCCTTTTACCTTCGGATCCAAACCCAACCTGGAAGTACCCAAACCAACCAATCAAGCCTTTTAAGCCATTTCAAGCCTTATATTTGACTGGATTCGAAACAAGCAACTTACTATCTACTGACAAAAGTTGGGAGCTTGATCTAAACTCAAATTCTAAATTTGAACTAAAATCTTCTTATAACATGTGAATTGCACACACCTGAGTAGATCTCACACCTGCAACCATTCGTGGCATAGGTTGTTGGGAACCACCTTCCCTACCTAGATCTACGATTGTAAATTTACACCATGAAGACCCATGAGATCACCAAAAGCTAAAAGGACTTACGATGATTGAGTTACCAATGAGGTTCTATTGGTTGCTGGCTACAGAAACTAATTTGTCCTTGTCACCATCTTTACCTTGTATAAGTTGTATGCAAGATCATGTTTTAGTTGCTAATAAATAAAGGGATCTTCTCTAAAGAAAAGTTTATCAAAACAAAATAAAAGCAAAATGAGAGCATTTGAAAGATCATTGATGTGTGATTATAATATAAGTTAGAGAAAGAATAGTACGTCAAGGAAGAGGAAAAGTTTGTGAGGGAAATTTTAGAAAGAGCTGACAACTTGTTTTTCTTTTATTACTAAGGGTAATGAAATGGTTTTACTTAAGGTTAAATTAAATTGATTTAATGAACATATAATGAGCCTTGATTTTTGTTGGGCTTTTAATGGATAAAAAAAAAAAAAGGAACCAAGTGTAGGTGGATTACAAGTGGGTTGCCATTTAGGCCACCATTTGATCTTGATTTTCCTCTCTCTCTCTCTCTCTATATATATATATACATGTATATTTTTATTTCTTCATTTCTTCAAATTCCATCTTGATCTTGATGGCTTCCACTCGTGAACAAATTCTTGCCACATGAAATTAAAGAAACTAAGATGAATATAAGGTAACCATCTATAATTTTAAAATTTATATACATTTTTATTAAAATATTTTAGTAATTTCATTTATTATATATTTTTTGCGTTAAATTTTGAGTTATGATAGAATGCACACTTGAAATTTCCTTTCCTTCATACAATCCCCCTTGTTGTGGTAAGTTCCCTTGATTTATGGATTTTTCTTTTAAGAATTAGATTTGTTGTTAGTGGCTACTAATATTTTATAGTCTTGAAACACTAGATTTTTTAGCTTATACCATCTACATCTCTCTTAAATTTCTATTGTAGATCCCCTTGCAACTTTTGGTGTGTCATCATCAATTTTCTTGGTAGGATCTAATATGTCCTTGAATTAGTGTTTGGAAGGGTTGTTAGAAATGGTTAAGTGTGGGGCAACAGCCACCACCCAAGTGTTGCACAAATGGCCTTGGCTCACAATTATGCTGACTATGTGTTCACCCTGGCTTCACACCAAGCCACCGCCACCACCATTCTAGCCCCACTATACCCTTAGCTATAACACCTCTTACGATTAGTTTATAGTCAAGTCACACCCTAACTCCCAGACTACCTAGTTAGGCCCTTTAAATGCATCATAGGATTTTCCAAAACCATTTAATGATGCAACAATTCAAAAAAAATATATTTGAAGAAGAAAAGTTAACAAAACTTATTATCGCAGTTAGCCATTTTATTTTTGCAAACATGCAACCTAAAGCACAATTTTCGTAAGATAATGATTTGACTTTCTTTGCCTCCAGAGAGTCTAGCCTTTGCCCTGAAAGCCATTTTTCAAGTTTTTCAATCTAAATAGGAAAGAAGGAAAATTGGGTAGGCTAAAAAGCCTAATAAACATAAATATGGGAAAATAACTAAATAAAAACAAACAAAAATTCATATAAAAATAATGAAGTAGCTAATATGAAAGTTACAAATTAAAAGACATCCACAAACATGGAGTCAAACTAAAGTTTGCTAGTTACACTAACAACAAGCTAATGTTGATGCCTACCTACTGTGCAAAGGTGCTTCAAGGATAATCAACTAAAGGTCTCTAGCTATATATAGGCCAAATCCTTATCACTTTCCATCAGACCACCCTTGATACCTAGGCCTAAGACTCCATAATAAGTCCATAATGTACATATAATTAAGCTTCAAAACACTTTATGTAATGTCCCAAAATTTTGGGAATTTTATCAACTAAGTTAAGGGACTTATTTTGGGAGAAATATTGTTTTGGGGCCTAATAGCTAAAAACTCCAAAGTTGAGGGACTTAGAAGAAAGGAAATAGAATAAGGATTTACTGATTTTTTTTTCTTTCTTTTTCTTTTCTTTCTTTCTTTTTCCCACGCGTGTCCTGCTCTTCTTCTTCCTCCCGACCCCCTGCAACCCGACAAGCTCCCTAGCTACCGCCACCCATCTCCGGCCGGGAACACCGGTAAAGCTTGGGGATTTCTCCTTCTTTTCTTGTTCTAGAACACCTATTAAACCCAAAATTTTCCAGATTTGCTCTCTTCCCTTTGCTGCGAGCTTCCTGTTGCTGGGTAGGTGAAATTTTCGGTTATTTTGGGTAAGCAACAACCTTGGAATTCATCTTTTCTCCCTTAATTTGGCTTGGGTTTACTTTAAATTGTGTTTTTGGTTCTTGAATTTGGTAGCCGCGAGTTCCCCTGCAGAATTGCTGCTGGCCTCTTTCCCCCGCCAAGTCCGGTTTTGCAGCTGGAAAAATTTTGGTATGGTGACAACTTCTCTAAGTCCAATTTCACCCATTTAGCTGCTGTTTGAATTTCCCTATATTGTCCGAAATTTGTTGAAAAATGGGGATGAATTCCGGTAGCAATTAGAGCATTTTAAGTGTGTTTTGTTGCTTAATCCATGTAGAATTTAGTTGATTTGGGCTGTTGTGATGTTGTGTAGGAAAAATCCCGTGACTTAGCCATTGTTGGCCAAAGCCGTGGGTCTCCATTGCTTGTCCGGGAAATTGGAAAATTGGTATATGTGTGTGTGGGTATAACTAAACCAATAAATGGAAATAAAAGCCAGTTCCTCCATCTTGTTTTAGCTAAATATATATATATATATATATGCACATTTGATTTTAGTGCTCAATTTCCAAAAAGAAGGAAATAAAATAAAATAAAGAAATCAATATTGCTTGATGAGATTAATGACAGGCAATAATAGAAAAGGATTGAATGTTTAGTTTAATATAAGAACAAATTTGGAGATGTCTGGTCATGTGGAGACTGATAGAAATAGCATCGTGATTAGGGGATAGTCATGGTGATTTTACTTTTGAATCCGTGGTACGATAATTAATTCTTAGATATTTTGATTTGATCGTTCTGTCAGTTTAGCACTGAGATCGAATCTTCGGTTTTATGCAAGTGATGTAAGTAAATTATGGTAACGCCCTTCAATTTCAAAGCATGTTTTAAATTGTTTTTGAGATGGTGGTAAGGTTTAAATTGATTTATTTGCACCGAGAATGATTGGTTTGAAATGAAATTGTTTTTATTTGCATTGAGTAGAGCATGCCTATTTGGAATTGACTAAATTGCCTTGATGAACTGAGAATTTTGTAAATTATGAGTTTTTCTGTTAAATTCATGTTCACATGGAAATTTTCGGTTTATTTCTGAAATTTGAGACTGATTGTGAATTACAGATTTTTCTATAAATCCTGCATGGTTTTGTCTCTAATATAGTCATGATTACTGACGCCCGCCAGTGGGAGTTTGCAAACGCTAACACATGTCGACATGTTTACTGATATGACCGGTTCATTCTGTAATCTTGCCAATAGGATCATACATTGGTAATTACTGACGTCTGCCAACGGGAGTTTGTTAAACACTGGTAATTGTTGACGTCTGCCAGTGGGAGTTGTTAAACACTGGTTATTACTGACGCCTGCCAGTGGGAGTTTGTTAAACACTGGCCATGACTTATAGATGAGACTACTACTGAATTTTCTTCTGCATTAACGGTTTGTCATTGAACGCTTTGCTATGGAACTGAATTTGATTCTGCATTAACGGTTTATCATTGAACGCTTTACTATTGAACTGAATTTGATTCTGCATTAACGATTTATCATTGAACGTTTTGTTATGTTAAACTGTTTATCAGGCATGCTAAAATTTTACCCAAAGGCTATTCATATTTACTTACTGAGATATCTCATAGTTTTTCCTTGTCCACCATTTCAGGAAACGAAGTCAAGGATGGGGAAAAACGAGGGGAGTGACAAGTTAGAAGGCTAGCCATCTTGTAAATTAAACATGGATTTTAGATATAAATCATGATCTTGTAAGCTAGACTTCATTTGGAGATTTTATGATATCAGGGCAAATTTTAAAATTTTATCTTCAGATTTTGTGGTATCAGATTGTGGTATGATAAGTTCCGAACCTTGTGCATTTGTGGGACCATCTCACAAGTGCACGGCGTCTGCCACGTTCCCGGATTTAAATTCTGGGGCGTGACACTTTAGATAAGGAAACACCCATTCCAATGTCCAGTGCACAAACTAGGTTGTATATCAACTCGGTATCACCTAACTCAAAAATTCATCTCATCTCTACTCCTAAAGTCCATAATTTTAAAATAATTCACATATGATGTTTAGTGAATTATGAAGTGAATATGTAATTCAATAAGCAAAACTTCCTATTGTAAGCTTTATCCAAAAGGACTTAAAAATCATTAAAGTCTCTTAAATTTCAATGTGGAAGTATCTATCATTCCAAATTGAGAAATCAATGCTATAAAGTATACGAGCCATGATAAAACCATTTAGAATCCTTCAACTCTATGAATTAATTCAAGTGGCAAATAGTAGTCAAATTATGCAATCTTTGAAATTTAATTAACTTAATTTTAGGCATTAGTTGTAGGCATACATCATTTTTGGCTTGGTTAAGCTTCAATTAACATTTTAAGGCTGAATCTACCCTTATTTTTAGTCCAAGCTAAAAATTATGCTTTTATATCACATTAAGCATTAAACTTTTAAATTTAATCAATTAAGTTCATTATGAGATGAATTACTAAAAATCAAACCATAAATCATAAATTTAAGAATAGGTCATAATACCCACTTTAGGTCATATATAATACCCAATGTTACAAATTGAGCAATTCATGCTTAATTTTAGCTCAAGAGTTGAAATTCAAGCGTAATTACATGTTAATTAACATTTAGAACACAAATTAGAGTAAAGAATCAAATTGATCTAAAACCCTAATTATCATTCATGGCTTCCAAGTTCCAATTTCAAGAATTCATGAAGAAATAATGATAGAGCAAGCAAAAATACACCAAATATATGAAATTAAGAAACAATTGAAGACATGAGTCTTCAAAAGGAGAATGAATCTCATAAAAATTCAACTATACCACTTATAGTAACCTCTAGCATCCAAAGAATGTAAAGATTAAAAGTCTCTAAATGATCCCCTTGAATTTCCAATATTTTCCACCAAGAACAACATGAAACTAATGCTTTTCTTCTATCCTCCCAAGAGTCACAAGTTTACTAATGGTAGAACACAACTTGTGTCTTCCAATTTTATTTTCTTGTCTCTTTTTATAAGGCTACGAAATGTTGGCTAAATCAAACATGCAAAATGACTAATTCTAGTTAGCTAGAAAATGCTTTTGCTTATCTGCACAAATTACCTATCAATTTCCTTTGCAATGGCCAGCCATCCCGCCAGAGAAAAAGACAAATGTTTAATTAAAATGGAAAAACTATAATTTAGTCCCTCAAACTCCTTAATATCTAAATGGGTTAATTTCACAAGTCATCTATTAACTTTCATATTCTTTTCAATTTCATCTATTATCTATGAATTCTTCAAATCCTGTTTATTATCTTTCACATTTATTTCAATTTTATCTAGTTTGTTATCTTTAATGGAAATGTTTGCTATCTTTAAAGAAAATCTTCTTAGAATAAGAAAATATTTAGTCCTCTAACTATATTTCTTTTGATCTTTTGGTCCTTAAATTTATATTCACTGAAAAAATAATTTTTATTCTTATCTTACTAAATGTGTTCTTCAGAAAGCTGTTTTATAGAGCGAATTGTATGCAGTCTGTCCTGTAAAATTATTTAAATACCCTTAATTTTATTTTTATATTATTTTTTCAAGGACATTTAAATAATTTTATAGGACAAACTACATACAATCTACCCTGCAGTTTATCTTGTAAAACAGACTTATTCTTAAAAATTCTCGTTCTAAACTTACTAAGTTCTTTGTTTGAATTGAGCTAGTTATTCAAGTGTATTATAAATTCTAACTAATTTATCTCTATAAAATATTTTTTAAGTCATCATATTTTATTAGGATTATAGTGTTACTTTTTCAAAACTTAAAGGACTACTCTTTCCATTAAATTTAACAAAATTTTGTACGGTAAATTATTTTGAAATATTCTCCAAAGTTTATAGACCATTTAGAAAGAAAATAAACTTTTTAGACTAAAATGAAATTAAACTAATAGTTAATAGACTAAAAATTGAATTAAGCCATTTCTAAATACTATTGGTCCATGGTTCACAAAGTCCAAAATATTGTCTTAAGACTCCTAGAAACCCAAAACTAATACTTAAATCCATCAATTTCTTGGTTTTCAACTAAGGGCTCAAACTATTGACTAGTACATTATTGAGAACTTCAACTTCTAATCTTTACAAATAAGGTTATGATTACACTACAAATTTGTAAAGTATAATGAATTAGACTTAATTAATCCTCTATTGGCTAATACTAAGTCTAAAATTACTAGCATTCCCATCGGTCTGATTAAATTCAAAGTAAAGCTACTTAATTAATAACTTTGCTTCTATACTTAAGTTTAAAAACTTCCAAAATCACCAACAAGGGCTAGCTACCATTAACCCACATGTACATAAGCACCTCTACTTCTAAGTTATGTAATTAAGGACATAGTCTAAAGATGATAAAAAAGCAAGTGTTACATTGTCCCCTCATAAATAAGATCTAGTCTTCTAAATTAAAACTCACTAGTAGACGTGTCTATTTCCTTCTTATTTGGCCCTTAAACTTAAACTCTTAAATGGCCTTAGTTTCACTATGATGCTACCATAGTACTTTAACAAAAGTCTTATTTCTAAGAACATTCTCCTTTCTAAGTATAATTTATACTAGGCATTCTCCTTTCTAACCAGAATTTATACTAGGTGCTTGATAAGCAATCAATAACTAACACTTTGTCTTAGTGGATAAATACGTAAAAATCCATAAAATGTTGTATTTTAGATTAGGGTTCCACTTGTTATCTTATGTTTATTACATTTGACACTTCACACTAATGCATGTCAAAACATATATACAAAACTTATGCACAAAAAAGACTACATCCTCTTAACCACTGCTTTAATGTTACTTCATAGTTCATGCAGCACTTACTCAAGAAGGTCATATGATTTCCTTGGGACTCTCAATAACTATGAAATCATAATTTGGAAACCTCATTAGGAAGTCAAAACTATAATGAAAGAGAGGGTTGTTGGGAAAGGCAGAACCCTCAAATCGCCCTTTAAAAAAGGTTAAATACCTTTTTTGATCCCTTTACCCTAGGAAAAAGCCCCTTTTGGTCCATGTACCGAAAAAATCTTTTTTTTGGTCCTTAAATTTTGAAATCTGACCCTTTTTTAGTCATTCCGTCAAATTTTGGTTGATGTGGCAGGTTAATTAACCAAAAAACTCATTTTTTTTTACTAAATTACGTGGAAAATCCATGTGGCAAAAATTGATGACATGGTTAAATTTTTTACCTTTAATTATTGATTTACCCTCATCTTTTTCCCATTCTCTCCTTCCCCCTGCCTTTTTTTTTTTCTTTTTTTTCCTTTACCTCTAGCGAACCTAGGAGCCTGGGTTTGCTCCGTCCAGGATAATGATCATGGTAATAATAGAAAAAAGATCCTTCGCTCATTATTTCCTTAAAGCAGTTCCAATTTCCGAATCGAGACGCATCAATGCGTCTATGTCATTTGAAATCACAATCCTTTTCCTTCTGAGACCTTGACTATATCTCACAAATCCAAACTCTAGACCTTCCTCTCCATTCACAAAGTTAAATTCCATCTCTAATGCCATCTTGAATAACTCAAAAAAACTCGAATTGAATCGCACTTCTTCAATAAACTGCATCAACAATCCTCCAAGCACAAACAAAAAGATTATATTCTGTAATCCAAAAACAAAATCAAACTGCACCAAATCAAACATAGAATCTACTCAAAATCACAGATTTCGAAGACAAAGTCTTAGATCTAATGAAGAAGGAGAAGGATACAGACCTTAAGAGGGAAGAAATAGAAGTTTTAGAGCCCTAAATTTGATAGAAACTGTTACATATTCTGAAAATGGGAACAATGAAAGAACTTCGGAGTACAAAGTTGCTTTAAAATGGGAAACTCTGCCTTGAGAAAAAAAGATTTGGTTTTAAATGAAAGAAATTAAAATTTTAAACATCTACGCATTTTTAGGTTTTTTTTTTCTCTCTCTTTTCTTTTTTAGCACGAGAAAGTATTGGGTTCCTTGTGAACCCAGGCTCTTGGGTTCACCTGGAGGTAAAGGAAAAAAAAGAAAAAGAAAAAACGTCAGAGGAAGCAAAGGATGGGGAAGCAGATGAGGGTAAATCAGTAATTAAAGGTAAAAATTTTAACCATGTCATCAATTTTTGCCACATGGATTTTCTACGTATTTAGTTAAAAAAAAAAAGAGTTTTTCCGTTAATTAACCTGCCACATCAGCTAAAATTTAACAAAAGGACTAAAAAAGGGTCAGATTTCAAAATTTAAGGATAAAAAAAGGACTTTTTCTTATAATAGAAGGACCAAAAAGGGTATTTAACAAAAAACATGGGTAGGAACGGATTCACCCTCAAAAAAATGAAGGGACATTTAGCCCCTCAAAATTATCAATTGATCCATATCACCCATTATTTAACTGCTGACATCATCACCAGTCACGATCTCCATTTAGCCTATGCTAGTGTGTCATTTTTTTACACGCTGGAGGCTGACGTGTAAAAATCCTGCTCTTTTTAAACACTATGTCACCAAACTCAAACGGCTTTAGCTTCTCCCCAATGCTGTTCAAAATGTGTCTCAGATCCGCCATGGACATGAGGCCGGTGAACTCTTTATTGAGGACCTTGAACGCATTGCGTAGCTGTCGATCGAATGGCTTAGGTTTCATATGCTTCGCCATGAGATCCAAAAACCGAGGGAAGTTAAAAGGCACCATTAACTTTTCTTCGACGATTATGGACTTGAGTTGTGCCTGGGTCATGTTGCCCCCGAGCGAGCGCATGAGGATCCCCAATTTCGACGGAGCAATCTTACCATCGCCATCGGTGTCGAAGAGAGTGAAGGCTTCTTTCATTGACAAAACCTAATCATTGCTTAAATCCTTTCCCATCATTTTGCGTTTTCAGGTCTCGATTCTCTCTAGAGAGTGATGTCTGGTTATCAGTTTTAAAAAGGAAGGAAAGATTTGGAAGCTCTTGTCTTAAGGCGAAGGGCTTGTTTGGTACAACGGTTAAAATTCAGCGGATAGCGGGTATCGGATGGCGAATAGCGGATAACGGATAACGAATAGCGGTAGCGGGTAGCGGATGGCGGTTAGCGGATAGCGGATAGTGAATAGCGGAAGTGGGTAGTGGATGGTAAATAACATATTTGATAAATGTAATTGTTTGGTTATATAATAGTTAGCGGTTTTTGTTTAACATTAAATGACTAATAAAGACATGTTTAAAAACAAATAAATGTATTTTTTAAAATATTTTTATTTTTTATTATTAAAATTATTAATTTTATAAAAATAAAAATAATAAAATAAATAAATAAAATTAATTATAATAATGT